TTGCCGATTACCAGTCGGCGCCTTAGACCACTCGACCACGAGGACATTTAATAATTATTTACAAGATGATGTATATAAGCAACGTCATTCTACGTGAAACTTTGGGTGATGTCAGCGAAATCGTCAGCTGTCAGCGATACAAGAGTGCGTTTAGAAACCTCACACGGCGCGGCTGACCACATGCATTAGAATATGGTCCAGACGCGCCATGCGAGGTTTCTAAACGCACTCCTTCATCCGCACCCTGGATGGGGGATACGTCACCTGTCATTGAATAGAACAAAAAATGGAGTGTGTGGAATGTAAGCCAGAAGGGCCTTAGCGTGTATCTTCACTGCTATTTGTCCGATTCAAACGGGGAAAACGGCATTATGAAGAGAACGATTAACGTCAAACAGAAAAATCATGCGCAGAACGAAAAAGCCACAAGGGCCTTAGCGTGTATCACGTGGTCCGATTTAAACGAGAAAAACGGGGTTATGTAGAGAACACCGAAAAGTTTGACGTTTCACGTTTCACGTTTGACGTTAGGCATTTGACGTTTCTGCTAGTATTGAGGGTTGGCCGAGCGGTCTAAGGCGTCAAAGTTAACAACCCAGATCTCCGAGAGGAGGCGTAGGTTCGAATCCTACACCCGACAATATTTTTTTAAAGTAAAATAGGTATAGTATTCAGTATTGAGATGTCTAGCAAAGAGAATAGACGTAGAATTGAGGAGTTTAGTATAAAAGTTCAAAAACTTAGAAGAGACATAAAATTATACGAAGTTAAAAAACAAGTTTTAAGAGATTTGACAAATTTAAGTCTTTGGGATAAAGTCTTTGAGAGATATCATCCTAATCAGTATCCACTTAGAAGAATCCAACCGACGCAAATATGGTTATCCTAAAGGCTAATTTCATTATACTTACGGCTATATTAAATAACGTACTGTATACCAATGTACCGTTTGGCGTACAACAGATGACGATACGTTTTGATAATCAAACGGAATGGCGAAAGATGAATTTCTCGGTGGTAAATAATATGAAGCTAAATACGTTTTCCATAGGATCTTGGACACCAATGCTTTTTAAATGGAAAACATGTAGTTCACTCTGGATAGTAGAGTGCTGGTGTGGATATTCAAGTAAAGATTGGACAAATATTGCTAATAATTTAAATGGGAGAAAGTTATTTGTAATAGGGTAAAAAAGTCAACATTGGACAATGAAAATAAAATATATTTTAATTCAAAATTATATTTTTAAAGTAACAGTATTAAGTATTTACAATAACTCAATGAGTTTCAAAATTGTCTCTCTTTGAAGCTCAGCTTTTTTATTTAGGCCCATTTTCAGTAAACTTGTAATTAGTTTCTTTTTCCTAATTTGTTTTTCTTTGTAATTATTCCTAATTTCAATTCCCCGTTCTGTTTTGTAAAATTGTCTCCGTTTCTCGTTAGCTTCTTCCCTCCGCCTTATTCCTTCGGCACCTCTATGACATCTACATGTGGATTTATCATGAAGTTCGTGTTCGGATGTGTAGTTTTCTAAGTCTTTTACACCTTCAGATGCTAATTCTGAAATTTCTGTGCGTATTAAGCAACACTGTTTTCCTCGGGAATGTAATCAATCTTGTTTGAATACTCTTCTATCGTAATGAGAATGAGGTGTACCCCTAAGACCATCCCCATCCCTTCTAAGTGGCTTCTGTCCATCAGCATAGGTGATGTATCTGAGGACACCAAAAGCATGGTCCAAGCAAATTATTTTCCTGAAAGTTGTTTTTGAATGGAGTCGTGTACCAGTGCGCTGTAGTTTTTTCTTGTAGGCCAACATTGTAGATCCATTAGTAAAATGTATTAAAGCGTGAAGATGTTCATGTGCTGTACTACGATCGTCTGCTATTAGATGACATCGACAAATAGAATACCATTTAATATTTGGAGCACAAGCAAGTAAATTAAAGTCCTTTTCATTTAATAATAAATGATACCATTCTTTGGACAATTCTTCGTAATCTTGTGCCATTTCCTGTGGCGACAAAGCGTTAATTTCATTTAGATTCAAGAGAGTTAAATAATCAGTTTTTGACAATGAAGACATTTTTTTGTTATTTTTAGAGAAGCTACTCTTAGAAAATGTTTCAGTAGACTGGAAGGATCTTGTGGCAGATCGTTGACAGCTGACAGATGACACATGTAGGTTAGCCAACTTCGTGGCAGATCGTTGACAGCTGATTGACAGATGACAGATGACACATGTAGGTTAGCCAACTTCATAGCTATGCGTTGACAGCTGATTGACAGATGGGGCATGGCTTACCTTATATGGGCATCAAAAAAGTGGAGGGGGAAAAGTTCCATGTGACGTCACCGTAAAAATTGCCAGAATGACAGATGACATATGGCAGATGACTTATGACAGATGATACATGACAGGTGACAGCTGTCAAAAAAGTTCCCAGGCTCAAGTGCCGTGACTCCTGCTGACGTAATGTGATTAAGCCGGTTCAAATTTTGATCCATTATGATACCGAGGAACTTTGTTGTGTTTTTCATTTTAATTATAAAATTGTTATTTATTTGTATGTTGAGAGAAGGCCTTTGTAAATTATATTGCTCTCTATGGATCTACTTTAACACAAAAATAGTTTTGTGGCTATAAGTTGCTATAACCTATAGTCACAAAACTATTAATAATTAGCCTTTTTCCTGGGAAGATTTAAAAAAGATCCGCTAGGGGCAGCACCGGTGGGGGGTACATATGTTTTGAATTTTCTATTAACAATAACGTCAAATGTATAGATTTATAATGGAAATAAACGGAAAATGATGTACCTGGAGCGAAATTGAAAGTTGCAAAAGTGCAAGATCAGAGGCTAAATCATTATGTAATTGGGATTCTTGATTACTATTAGCATTTTCATTACTAATTTCTAGTGATTCAACATCAATAACAGTAGAACAGATAAGTTTTTGATGTTTATTTTTTCCAGTGCTTGAGTCCTCTTCAATACATCGTTGCTGTCTTTTATATTTCATACACATTTAAAAAGAAGTTTAAGTTCATTATTTACTATCAATAATGATAATAATATGTAGACTGATATAAAATATAACCTCTTTAAATAAACAATTACTAACATTTGAAACTGTCGCTGGCAATGGATTTGGGTTTTCTATTGTTGGTCTATTTGAATTAATAAAATGTCTTGTACAAATAAAAGTATGTTTTTTTATTTTTTCAACTGTTAAATCTGCCCTTCGTAATAAATGTATTCACTACAAACACTTTTTTTGTCAACTTGTGGTTTTTTAAAAGGCACAAATTTTACACCATCTTGCTTGTAACGATTGTCAGACGTACAATTTGAAAACGCACAATGTTTTGTAGGCATGACAATTTGTTTTTTAATTTTATTTATCACAATATTTATTTATTCTAAAAATAATAAAACGTACGTTTGACGTTGTTGTCAATAGCGAATTCGAAACATATGTGTATGTACCCCCCACCGGTGCTGCCCCTAGCGGATCTTTTTTAAATCTTCCCAGGAAAAAGGCTAATTTGAACATAGTAGGTAGTATTAATAAAACATCAAGTAATTTTTTAAAATAAAATACATGATCTCAAAACAGAAATAATTTATAATAAATACGGGTAAAACGAGAGGTAAAATAACAATAAATTAAGGGACATACTTAAAAAGGGCAGGTTTAAAGAGTATTATCACAAGAAAGTATATCCGTTCTGATTATTATCAAGTATTGTTTGAGGTTACTTTTGAACACATTTATTGTTTTTTTTTTTTTTAATTTCTGTAGGCAGTCTATTAAATTTTTGCAAACCTTTAATAAAAATTGTATTTTGGGAACTTTTAGTGATGGCTTGCCGTACATGAAAGTCAGATTGGCTTCTTGTATTATAGTTGTGATATTGAGAATTGTATTAAATTTTTTCTAATGGATCTGATGCAATGATGGAATGTCATTTTTATTTTATAAATAAATATCAGTCATGTACTGAACATAATTCTGAACTGAAAGCTAATTTATTTCTTTTAACATAGTTGCAATACTCATCCTTCTGTCCTTTATTAATATTATATAAATAGGCGAAGTAAGGAGCCCAAATATTTTACATGAGCAGGCTTAAGAGGTAAAGGGGCCAATTATTATTGGATAAATTTCTCGAACAAGTTTGTAAACCCTAATCAAAAGGCGATACAGAATGGTTTTAAAAATCAAGGCTTGTGAAAATTATCACATGGTTTAACCTAAGTAATGCCAATGCTTCACAAACCAAAAAATTCAACGTCCTTATACTACTATCGGCTTTCGGTCTTTCGTTTAAAATTAAATCATTTCTCTTTTTTTTTGACGCTACGAGTTTACCCTTGTGGGCCTCAGTCTCGATAAGGTGGAAACCACCATTTTAGCGTCTCTCGAATTACACGATTGAATTCTGTTTTGGTGTTATTTTCAAATATAGAAACAAATTAAAAAAAATACATACACGGTGTTGCTTTGAGGGTGAAAAAATATGTGAATTTTGAGTCAAACTGGGTCCGGAATTTCCTTCTTTTTTTGTATATTTGACAAATTCACCAAACGTCAAAAAAACTAGGGATTGTTTTCGAGTTGTGAATAAGAGAAGAATATTACAAAATTGATATAACACCCTATATCTTGGTTGTAAAAGATGAAAGATCCGTTACTCAGGGGTTATTTAGATTCACATGCGTGTCCTCTACCCATGGTGAACATTATTTTAAATAAAAAATTATAAGCCATTTTTCAAGATAACAATGTATATGAAAAGTGCTGTAAATAAGATTTTTACGTCGTATTAAGGATAATTCGATTTATTCAGAAATGTTTTTCTCTATTTGGTAAGCTAAGCAATCCAATCCAAAGTACTAACTCAATTTAAAGTCGCGTTCTCAGAATATTTGCTAAATATTTTACTGGAAAAATAAATAGTTTGGTCTGAATTTGAGTTATTGTTTGTTGTTAGGTTCACCTGCTGACAATGACAATTTGGAAATTGGGGATGAAATTTTGGAAGTTAATGGTAAAACCTTGGACGACGCTTCTCATACGGAAGTAATCAGTCATATCCATCAGGTAAGTAAATTTATGTAAATATAATATGATTGTAAGGAATTGAAAATATATATAATAGAACTCATGTCCAAAAGAAAGAAACTTTAATTTAAAGATTCAACATGTTTTTTTTATCAGATCTATTTCTGCTTTAGTGTCTTATCCCAATTAGTTTTGTTTATAGCTATCCTCAGAATTTTATTTTCTCCTAATCTTTCTCGTTTTTTATTTCTTATTTTGTCTAAAATATATCTCAGAAGTCAAATAAATTATATCTCTCTCTGTTTGCTTTACTTTTTTTTTCTAAATAGCTATGTAAGTTGGATTTGAGTTGATCATTCTTAGCAAATATATTTTTCTGTTCTAATATTGTATTATGCTTTTTCAATACATTATTATCAAAAAATATTTCACAAGCGGGGCAAAATGCCAAAAGTATTTTATTTGCTTTACATAATAATGACGTGGAATTAAATGAAGATGTTGTGGATAGATAGATATAATTTATTTGGATGTAGTTCTGCAGAGAGGGACCAACCCACATGTTTTTTGAACCGAGAGTTTACACATCAGTTTCAAAATCATGATTGTTGCTTTTGACAGATTTTGGTTGTCCAGTTAACAGAAGGATTGGTTAATCCCAGTATTATATATTATATTATATTATATTATATTATATTATATTATATTATATTATAATTATATTATATTATATATATTATATTATATTATATTATATTATATTATATTATATTATATTATATTATATTATATTATATTATATTATATTATATTATATTATATTATATTATATTATATTATATTATATTATATTATATTATATTATATTATATTATATTATATTATATTATATTATATTATATTATATTATATTATATTATATTATATTATATTATATTATATTATATTATATTATATTATATTATATTATATTATATTATATTATATTATATTATATTATATTATATTATATTATATTATATTATATTATATTATATTATATTATATTATATTATATTATATTATATTATATTATATTATATTATATTATATTATATTATATTATATTATATTATATTATATTATATTATATTATATTATATTATATTATATTATATTATATTATATTATATTATATTATATTATATTATATTATATTATATTATATTATATTATATTATATTATATTATATTATATTATATTATATTATATTATATTATATTATATTATATTATATTATATTATATTATATTATATTATATTATATTATATTATATTATATTATATTATATTATATTATATTATATTATATTATATTATATTATATTATATTATATTATATTATATTATATTATATTATATTATATTATATTATATTATATTATATTATATTATATTATATTATATTATATTATATTATATTATATTATATTATATTATATTATATTATATTATATTATATTATATTATATTATATTATATTATATTATATTATATTATATTATATTATATTATATTATATTATATTATATTATATTATATTATATTATATTATATTATATTATATTATATTATATTATATTATATTATATTATATTATATTATATTATATTATATTATATATTATATTATATTATATTATATTATATTATATTATATTATATTATATTATATTATATTATATTATATTATATTATATTATATTATATTATATTATATTATATTATATTATATATATTATATTATATTATATTATATTATATTATATTATATTATATTATATTATATTATATTATATTATATTATATTATATTATATTATATTATATTATATTATATTATATTATATTATATTATATTATATTATATTATATTATATTATATTATATTATATTATATTATATTATATTATATTATATTATATTATATTATATTATATTATATTATATTATATTATATTATATTATATTATATTATATTATATTATATTATATTATATTATATTATATTATATTATATTATATTATATTATATTATATTATATTATATTATATTATATTATATTATATTATATTATATTATATTATATTATATTATATTATATTATATTATATTATATTATATTATATTATATTATATTATATTATATTATATTATATTATATTATATTATATTATATTATATTATATTATATTATATTATATTATATTATATTATATTATATTATATTATATTATATTATATTATATTATATTATATTATATTATATTATATTATATTATATTATATTATATTATATTATATTATATTATATTATATTATATTATATTATATTATATTATATTATATTATATTATATTATATTATATTATATTATATTATATTATATTATATTATATTATATTATATTATATTATATTATATTATATTATATTATATTATATTATATTATATTATATTATATTATATTATATTATATTAACTTTTCCACTACATGTACATAAAATGGTGCAAGCGCAAAACCAATATTTTAAAATTATAGGTTGGTTACTTTCTACTGAACTATTACCCAGATAGCACAGTCGTCTTAAAGACGTTTAGCATAAGACATTAGAGACGTCCTTAGGACATCTGATATTTCCTGAAAGACGTCTGATGTTACAAAAGGGAACGTCTTTAAGACGTCTTATTAATGGCTTGTAATGGTCTTGTAAAGCTTTAAATAAGCCATAAATGAGACGTCTTTAAGACGACTTATTACTAGCTTATAATGGTTTTGTGAAGCCATAAATAAGATGTCTTTAAGATGTCTTATGAACGGAGGACGTCGGATATCTTAGTTATTAAAAAGTAGAACAACTTTGCAGGTTATAAAGAATGCAAAAAATAGAATTAAAAATATTTATTGATAAAATATCTATTAATCACAGGTCATTAAGGGTTATTTTCTTTGTAGCGCATTCGATCACTCCTCTTTAGTCATAACTGGATTTATTTTTCTCTTTCTCTTTGATTTATGTTGCCTTTGTATAGCTCCTAAAAAGAAATTTAGTTAAGAGCATCTAGTCACAGAAAATTATACTTTGCAAAAGTTAATAGAAACCGAAAGAACATCTATTAAACGAAACAAAAAATTAATTTCTTAGAATTTTAAATCAAAGAATTTTTATAATCATTTAATGCAATATGAGCTATTATGCTTAATCGCTTACTTTAACAGTTTTACTTTAACTTCACTCAAAATGGCTATCTAATAGGAGGTTTTTGATATTAATAGTTCTCAAAATCTCAATAAAAACAAAAAAAAAGATAATTGTCGAATATCTGAATTAAATGTTATATTAATATGTTAACTTTTAAATTAATTTAATTATTCTTACTTAGAAGAAGCAGGATATCAATGTTCAATGTATATAAACAGGAACGTGCTACATCGGTAACAGAAACTAATCTTCCCTCTCTGGTTTTTGTCCCATATTATTTAAGTAGAAAGAGACACAAATGCTCAAAATAGCCCAAAGAAGCTTTTGGTGGCTATAATCGCGACACAATAACATAATCAATAATCCACAATGAACTTGGGCCATACAAATTTTTGGCTTGGGTTTGAATGTACTTCTTCATTTCTTCGATTAATTACCCAACACCATTTATTTTTTCAAATTTAGTTAAGTGGAAAGGCTGTACCCTCCAGCGTCAGACTTCTGTCTTCACTTTTCCACTGCACTTGATATTTAATTTCAATATTCTTCTCCAAATATTACACTGAATATTTTGTTTAATTTTGTATACTTTTTAAAGTCGGATGGTCACTTTTATACTAGATATTTTGTGATTTTTATGGGACTTCTGGGCTCCCGATTCGGAGACCGCCATTTCATTGTTGCCACGACGGTGTCCGAATCGGAGGTCCGGCTTGAATGTAATCTTAAGTCAAACGTCAAACTTCAGTTCATAAAAGTTTTGGCAAAAATTACATTTTGCAAATACTTTTAAATCTCTATTATATGTAAATCGTCTTCTGTATTCTGTGGAAATTTCCATGGAACAACATATAATAGCTTTAATTCTATGTTATATGTTGTTCCATAACAATTTCCACCGAATACATAGGACAATTTCCTTTTAACCACGATGAAAGACAATAGGTGTTTCAACTTCCCTAAAATCCCATATGAAAACAAAAGACGATATGGCGCCAAACACAACGTCGTTAAAAGGTGAGGTTCCCGTTTGACCATTATAAGAGCTAGATAAAGTATATTTTAATATCAACATGTATCCAACTTCAAGATCTGGCCATCAGATGATTGGTCAATCATTTGACAGGTTATTATACTAATGTTCACGGAGCATGACATATATTATATTTACGAACAAATATAATTGTGTTTTATTTATAACTCTAATAATTTTGCAATATTATTTATTAAAGTTAGTTTAAAGTAATGCTTCTTTCATCTTTGTTGAGGTCTAGTTATTATCTAGTCTAGTTATTGTTGATCTTACATATGAATGATGTACCTGTCATATTTGAATTTAGATATATCGAAAGTAGAAGTGGACCAATGGACGAAGTAGAAATAAAATAATAAAGACGATAGTAATTGCTGTTATAAGCTTTTATTAGAATTAGCAGTTCGGCTGTTAAAACATCATCCGTATATTATAAATGTAAACAAGAATGGAATGATTGATAATTTGTTCTTTTTTTACATTTATAATGCAAGCTCTTGGCAAATACTAATAAAATTTCCACACTTGAAAAGACCTACCTTTCCTTCGTTTTTCTTTATCAATCTGTGTGTAGTTACACCTACAAACCTTTGATTTATTTTGTAAATGATTAAAGTTGTATAAGTTAATGAATCTATTGAAAACAATCCTCTGCGTTTATATTTAATAAAAAGTTTATTACAACACTTATTCATATAGTATGTAATTAAGGTTTACAGATCATTTTTGTACCTACCCTTTTCATCAATTTGCCTTGTAAGAACCACATTTTATTACAATTAGGAGATCCCTCCATGTGAAATTGTTTAGGGCTGGTAACAAAATAAGTATGTATGTTTGGAATGTGTTTATTAATTATCTAAATTATGGCAGTTATAATTTAATACCTACTCTTCTGTAAACATAACATCAAAATGGCACTTTTCACTTATTTTTTAAAAATTCATTTCAACAATATTTACAATTTTGTAGGAAAAAATACACACTATTTTCCTTATTTAATTATTGTTGTCTTGTACACTAAAATGATGAAAAATGGTAATGAACTCACTTTGTTTTGATGAAATATATGGGTGGTTATTATTATAAGTATGTGGTATAGTATTTTTCTTCTCATTTTCACTTTCCATTTCGTTTGTTATATAGAGTATGATTAGTAGACATTAATAAATTACCATTATTTAAAAAAAAATTGGATACAGACGTATTTTTTACTCGATTAAGATAAAATTAACTGAATTTTTCTGACAGTTCGCAGTCATTATTTGTTTTCATTTGAGGTACTTCATCTTCTACCGACATCTGGTGGATTTTTTACATACTATACTGTTTTTGGTGCCATATTTTAAAAAGAGTTGAAACAACTGTAAAATGTCATTCACCGGGCTTTTAACTAAACGTTAAAAGTATTTGCAATAAAGTGGTAGTTTTTGCTAAAACTTTTGTTACATACGTTACTGTACTATAAGTAGATAAAGTTAACTAAAATTAGTTAGGTATGTAGAAAAATTAAAGAGAAAAAGAAATACTATTTCAAGGGTTTTGTTAGAGTCATCAATTTTTATAAAATTATAATTTTTTTATTGGTGTCTTTGGCTTCAACATCTTAGGCCATTAGCCCTCGTGTTATGTGTAGGTTATGGAAAACTAGTAATCTAATACTCCTGTACCCCTACTGTTTTTCAGCACTACTTTATTATTTCAGTAAATTATCACGTTTTCATTGGTTAATTTTCCAAATTTCTTAATTTAATAAAATATTTTTATTTTAATTACTTAAACGTATTTTTATTTTTCAGTGTATTAGATCCCGAACAATATGTTTACGTGTGAAAAGGAGAACCGGGGCCCGATTGGGTGAGTATTTTTAATTTTCTGGTGTTTTTTTTAATCGGTCAATAATAATTGTTACAAGAGGTTCCAATAAACGAACTAAATAAATATTGAAATAAATTTGGTACCTAGCAATATTAATTTTAATCCCAATCAATATTTTTTAACTTCAGAATCTAAATATGTATAAATTTGACTTAGATTTCATATGATTATTGGTAGGTACGTAACAAACTACTTTTCATCCACTTAAATGACTCAAGTTTTATTATGTGGGAGACCTAAAGAGTAAATATGCTAAATTTGATATAGTTACGTCTGATTTTTAAGTAGTTAAAAATTATAAAATTTAATAATTTAATATCGATACTAGTTTGTATTTCTATGTATTGAAAAAGCAGTTTTCATTTAAACATTATATACATATTATTTACCACGCCTCACCATAGTACCACCGATTCCTAAATGTGTTTTACCATTTACCAACAAAATAAACATTTGCTTCGAAGCGCAGTGGATATATGGCGAGCGATCAACCACTCCCGAAATTCTGGTACTTTTTCACTTGAAATCACCGAAATCACAACAAATTTTCTAGAAATATCCGAAAGTATGTTCAAAATCATCACCGTATAAAATTCAGGGAGATTTTCAGCGAAATCACCGAAATTACACATTCTTTAGATAATTTCAGAAATACGGGACCTTTTGACCTTAGTGGTTTCCCCCTCCTATATGGGTATATATTCGTAAAGAGACTTAAAACTCAAGAGCGCTTTACATCTATCGATTTCTTCATCGTCCTTCTTCCTGCGTCCTTCTTCCTGCGCCCTTCTTTTCCTCCTTTTCCTCCTACCTGCGCCTTTCCTTTTCCTCTTCGTTTCTTTCCTTCCTGCGTCTTTCCTTTTCTTCCTCTTCTTCTTTACTGCGGCTTTCCTTCTCCTCTTCTTATTCCTTCTTACGCCTTTCCCATTTTCCTCCCCTTCTTGTTTCCTGTCCTTTTCCTCTTCTTCCTTTTTCTTGCGCCTTTCCTTTTCCTCTGCGTCCTTCTTTCTGCGTATTTTCTTTTCCTCCTCTTCCTCCTTCCTGCGCCTTTCCTTTTCCTCATCTTCCTCCTTCCTGCGCCTTTCCTTTTCCTCTTTTTCTTTAGCTTTCTGCTCCTTTCCTTTTCCTCCTCTTCTTTCTTTTCCTTCCTGCGTCTTTCCTTTTGCTCTTCGTCCTTCTTCCTGCGTCTTTTCTTTTCCTACTCTTCTTCGTTTCTCCGCCTTTTCTTTTCCTCTTCTCTCCTCTTTTATCTTTGAAAACCATGCTGGTCGGACTGAAGTATCTATACAGGGTCATTCTATATGGGCGGAACACTTGATTTATGGCTTAACTCTGACTTGTACGATAATTTGACTTAGATAAAAGTTTTTGTACATTTTATGTACTATTTATTGACGTTTACAGATACGTAATGATTTTCAAGATATGACGTCATCGGGCAATATTTTAAATGGATCATCCTGTATTTATATTTTTTTTCGAGTTCTTATGATCTGTCTGATTTCATCAATGGTACATTAAGTAGGTCCCAGACTTACGGTCTTATCAATAACAATTAAATTAGAAGACAGTGAGTACATATTCTGTGAGGAGGAGGATGAAACCTCCATTCCTATTCTAACTGAATGTGTAGCACTCCAGAATCCAAGGGCACTATACCTAGGAGCATATAAAATAGAAGAGAAAGATTTACCTAACTTGAAGCCACTCCAAATCCTACACTCCCTTGAGAAGAATGAATTTAAGGGCCGTTATAGACATTTCCTTGCTGCATTAGCGACAGAAGGGAGCACAGCAGGTCTTTTAGGTTGCAGTGTATTAACACTCCATTCCCAACATAACATAACTATGTCAACAAAAATTTGAAGCAAATGTAAGAAGTTACTTTATAGTGGGACACTCTGTATAATATTTAATTTTATCTTCATTTAGTTTAATTCTATAAAACTACAAATCTTAGCTACAAAATCATATTCTATTAAAAAAAAAAACTAATTAAATGAAAATCAAGTCGATATTATTATTGGTACATCTGATACATCGATATACAGGGAGTCCCGCAATTAGACGGTTATGTTTTAACAGCGTAATCTACATCCTTAAATAGGATATATAAATATAGTTCCGAAAACGTTTTGTTTCCGAGATACAGGGTGTTAAAAGTAAAGTCCTGATGACACATTTTTGTAAATATTTTCTAACCTTTTGAAGATAAATAAATGAAATTTGATACAAATGCTAAACTTTTTACGCTCTACAATGGACTAAACGCCAGTTTTTGATCATCTTCATAGGTGGGTAAATTAGGGGAGTGGCTTAGGGTTAAATTGTCCTAAGTTTTTTTGTTGACTGTTTTTAACTACAAAATTTGGAAAACCAATATTTTTTTTATAATAAAGCTACTTTCGTTGTATCTCGCTAGGACGGACCATTTTCAAGAGAAAGGCATTTAAAAATTTCATGATAAGTTGATGTTATCTTATTCGAAAGTGTAAACAATAATAAGTAGGAATTTGAAATTTTATTTTTTTGGAAAACCGGTGACTAAAGAAATTTTAGAAAATATTTACAAAAATGTGCCATCAGGACTTCACTTGTAACCACCTGTATCTCGAAAACGAAATGTTTTCGGACCTATGTTTATATGAACTTTTCTTCTATTTTAGGATGTAGATTACGCTGTTTAAATATGACCGTCTAATTTCGGGACACCCTGTATTTATAATAAGAACAACATTAAAATTATTTCAAAAATTTTAAAAAGGATCCCCATCAGAGGCGTAGCTACCGGGACATCTGGGGCAGCACAGCTATCCAGCGCCAACAAGGTTTAGACGCCTTCACGCCTTTAGAATTACACAACATAACGCCTTTATTTCCTTCAATTCCAAGTTTTATTGTCTTTTTCCAAAATGTATTATTGAGTTAAGTGATGATGAACTTCGCAAAAGAGCTTTATCATTATTTGAACAATATATTAATGATTTGCAATTTGATCTTGCCGCAGCCACCGTTAGTTTTAAAAATTTGTATTGCATTTTCGTTATTTTTAAAAATTCCGGAAGATCGTTTTCAAAATTAAAAATAATTTGGGGAGTAGGTACTATGTCGCAATCAAGATTTATTAGTAGCCTGGATCGTTTCAGTATCAAAAACGAAAGAGCTCAAGCTTTAAGTCTTGATTATCTGATCAATATCTTCGCAGAAAGCAAATGCAGAAAAATAAATTTTAACATATAATATGATGTAGGTACAGGTAGTGCCTTGTGGAGCGGGCGGGAATTGCTTCACCCTAGAATTTACCTTCAGGGCACAGTTTATAGCTAAAGAATCAGTTAGCTCACTCGGACCCTTTGGATGTTCCAAAATAACATCCACTCCAGGGTTACAAATTCAGGATGCGCAGAAGACTGCTGTTTGAATATAGGCGGTTGTCATATTGTAGTGGTTATAGTAAGAGAGCTCACTGCAAATATCGACCGTCATCTGATAACGAAATGAAATATGCTCCAAAGGCATTGTAAACAACATTGTACTTTACCATTGGTTAAAAAAAAAATATTTTATATTCAAAAAATCACATAAGACATGACAGCGACAATTGCGTTTTCCCTGAAAATTACAATCCTAATTCATTGTGAAACTAGCTTTTAAACCTGATTTATTAATATTTTTTTCTACACCCACATGGATATTAGCTGGATAAGGCAAGATCCACAAAACTCAGAGGACTGGGATACTTACAAATATCACCTCAGAGAATACAAAAAAATCATCAGACAAAAACAGAGATGCATGGAGATCTTCCTGCGAAGAAATCGAAGATTTCCCGCAGGCAGCGAGGCTTCAAAAAGCTCTCTCAAAAGATCCACACCGAAGCATTGGTGCGCTAATCAAAGAGGATGGCACGAAAACTGCCAACCTCGAAGATAGCATTAAACTTTTGCTGTCAACACACTTCCCTGACTCGGTCATCACAGACGTTGCCGACTGAGCAGAGAAAAAATACAATATATCTGTCTATGATTGGCAAACTGCCAAACACATTGTAGACGATGAAAAAATTAGATGGGCAATATCCAGCTTCTCTCCATTTAAATAGCCAGGACCTGACATTATCTATCCAGCCCTACTTCAGTGGGGTCTGGAAGAACTCACACCGCACCTGGTGGGTATATTCAGATCCTCGTTGGCTCTGAGGTATATATCCCCCAAAAATGGAGAGAGGTAAAAGTGGTATTTATACCCAAACCTGAAAGGATTGATTACACTGTCCCAAAAATATACCGACCAATTAGTCTGACATCGTTTTCCAGGAAGACATTGGAAAGGCTATGCGAAAGGTACATAAGGGATGCGGTGATTACAATAGCACCACTACACCCAAACCAACATGCATACACCCCACGCAGATCTACTGATTCAGCTCTGCATCTAGTTGCTGGCCGGATAGAAAGATCCGTGGACAATAAGAAGTTCGCCTTAGGTGTTTTCATAGACATAGACGGTGCTGTTGATAAAACAACCTTCCCAAATATAATACACTCATTAACAGGAATGTTCCACAAATGGTTAGTGGGTGGATACATAATATGCTCTCAAAGCGAGCAGTAAACATAAGTGTAGAAGATGTGAATATAAGAGGCTTGGTTGCGAGAGGATGTCCACAGGGAGGGGTGCTATCACCTCTACTGTGGAATATGGTCCTCGACACCCTCATCAGCCGCCTCAATAATGACAGTCACTGCACAATAGCATATGCAGATAACCTGGTCATTCTGCAAACAGGGAATTTTGAGAACATACTCTGCGAAAAAATGCAAGTAGCTCTAAAAATTATACAACAGTGGTGCAAGGACCATTCACTGTCTATCAATCCTAAGAAGAAAGAAATGGTCCTTTTCACAAGGAAAAGGTTGAATATGGAATTAAAACCTCCAGAACTCCTAAACACAAAACTAAACATTGCAACAGAGGTA